CGCCCCGCGCCCTAGGGCGCCGCCCGCCGCGACTCCACCATGAACGTGGCGCTGCAGGAGCTGGGCGGCGGCGGCGACGTGAGTAGGGGCGCCAGGCCCCAGGGGCGCGCAGCAGGGTGATGGGGGGCCCGGTGGAGGGGGCGGCCGCGAGGTGGCCGGCGGTGTCGGGCGGGGGCCGGCGCTCAGCGAAATAGGTCTGCGTCGTTGGGGGCCGGGTTATAGAGTCTGATGGACGCCCCCCTGGCCAAAGTGCCGGGGCAGGTGGGACGGGCGGGGGGGTCTCTGAGTGCGGTGGACAGACAGCCTTCTCCAGGCCTGACCGCGGCTGGGGTCCCCGAACTCTCTGGCAGATGGTGGAGTACAAACGCGCCACACTTCGGGATGAAGATGCACCCGAGACCCCCATAGAGAGCGGGTCCTCCCCGGACGCCTTGGAGGTGAGCAAGGGACTCCCCTTTTCTCAGCAGGCCCCAGCCCTAGCATGACCCCTGGCGCACCCAGGAGGTCTGGGCTGCCCTGTTGGTCGTTGGCCCCATCCCCACTCCATCTCTGGCCTCTGCGCTGTGACGCTGTGACGATGGCGAGGCCTTTCTTGCCATGACGTTGCACAAACAGGCTCAAGGCCCAGCCAGGCCTCTGCCTCATGGCCCCTGAACCCCAAGTTAACCCCATACTGCCTTTGCTTCATGGCTCCTGTGCTTTTGCCCTGTAGAAAGACTTCTGTGGTCGTAGAGACCCTGCCCATCTCTCTCTTTCCCTCTCTCTGTGTCACTCTGCACTCCCCAGGTGGGATTCCGGAAAGCGACCAGACGCCTCTTGGGCTCACACACGCAGCTGGAGCTGGTCTTGGCGGGTGTCTCTTTATTGCTGGCTGCTTTGCTTCTGGGCTGTCTTGTGGCCTTGGGGATCCAATACCACAGAGGTAAGTAGGTCCGTACTTGTCTCCAGCCTGGGAACTCTGGAGCCTCTCAAAAGGGCCCGTGAAATAGTCTCAGTCTAGAGCCACACAGCCTCTCAGCACTGGCTTTTTAATCTGACAACCTTTCTGCTGTCATGGGCCTCCCAGGGAACTCAGCCTAGTGGTAAGGAGTTGTGTTGCCATTCCAAAGGCACACAGTTCAAATCCACCAGCTGCTCCATGGGAGAAAGATGATAAATCAAAAATCTCCTCCCATGGGATTTACTGCCTCTGAAAACCTGCTAGAGGATCAGTAATGAGTCAATTACAACCCCATGGCACACAACAACAGATTGACAGTCCTCTACTCTGTCCTCTGCTAGATCCATCCCACAGCACCTGCCTCACAGAGGCCTGCATTCGAGTGGCTGGAAAAATCCTGGAGTCTTTGGATCGTGGAGTGAGCCCATGCGAAGACTTTTACCAGTTCTCATGTGGAGGCTGGATTCAGAGAAACCCTCTGCCCGATGGGCGTTCTCGGTGGAACACCTTCAACAGCCTCTGGGACCAGAACCAGGCCATTCTGAAGCACCTGCTGGGTGAGTGGGCCTGGTGGCTCTGCCAGTCGTCACCGCTTGGTAGTGACAAAGGCTGGGAACCAACAAGAGAAAGAGTAACCGAGTAACATCCCTGGGTAGGAAACGCACAGGGTAGGATCTTCTGAGAAGCAGAGATGGGCACTGAGTGGGAGAGCCAGACCTGCTGAGTATGAGGAGGGGGTGCCCCTCTGCACTCCATTTGGAGCACTGTGCAGGCATGGCAGGTACTGGGGCATCTCAGGGGCTTAGGTATCTCCTGGGTCTCCCCAGATAAGGGGGAGGAAATTATCAGAGCAGCTGAGTCTATGTCAGAGAGATTGCTCACAGAGCAGACCCGCAGCAGACTCCCCCACAGCAGTTAACCCCATTGTCACCTGGACCCTGTCTTCTACTCCACAGAAAATTCTACCTTCAACTCCAGCAGTGAAGCTGAACGGAAGACCCAGCGTTTCTACCTGTCCTGCCTGCATGTGGAGCGCATCGAGGAGCTGGGGGCCCAGCCTCTGCGAGACCTCATTGACAAGGTAGAGAGCTCAGGAGAGGGTGCAGCCTAGGGGCACACTGGAGAGCCCTGTGCAATGAATTCCGCTCTCTCCAGATTGGTGGTTGGAACATTACGGGACCTTGGGACCAGGACAACTTCATGGAGGTACTAAAGTCAGTGGCAGGGACCTACAGAGCCACCCCTTTCTTTACTGTCTACATCAGTGCTGACTCCAAGAGTTCCAACAGCAATGTTATCCAGGTACAAGGGTGAGGAGAGGTGAAACCAGGCTCCCCTGCCCTGGGACAGTGGGCTGGAGTCCAGGTTTGTGGAGATCCTCAGCTGCTTTTATTCCTGTTTCAGGTGGACCAGTCTGGGCTCTTTCTGCCCTCTAGAGATTACTACCTAAACAAGACTGCCAATGAGAAAGTAAGGAATGTGCTCTGAGCCCTCCCCTCAACCCCCCCATTTGCTTTTCCCCTTTGTCCACAGTCAAAGAGGAAGGGGAGCCTCTCCTGCGTAGTGAGCTGTCTTCTCCTCCTCCTTTTCTCTCTCCCTTTCTTCCTTTTATTCATGCAGAGAATATTTTATGGGCACCTGCCTTGTGCCTAGGGAGCTCTGGTGGCTTAGGGACAAGGAATTGCGCTGCCAACACAAAGGTACGCGGTTCAAATCCACCAGCTGCTCTGGGAGAAGATGGGCAGTCTCCTCTTGTGGGATTTAACTGCTTCGGAAAACCTGGCGGAGGGTCAGCTAGGTGAACACAACAAAAACAAACCATATGCCTAGAGAACTCTGGTGGCCTAATGCGTTAGACTGTCAACTCAGAGGCAGACAGTTGGAGTTTACTAGCTGCTCTGAGGGAGAAAGATGGGGAGTTTCCTCCTGGGTGATTTACAGCCTCTGAAAACCTGCTGGAGAATTAGCCAAGTCAGTTCTAACTCGATGGCAATGAGTCTTGAGTCCATATGCCTGGCTGGCACAAATGGTTAAGCACTCAGCTCTTTACTGAAAGGTCAGCAGTTTGAACTCACACAGAGGTGACATAGAAGAAAGGCTTGGCAATCTGTGTCCTAAAGTAAATATTATTGGCTTCAGATTTAAATCTTAGCACAGTAGTTGAAGAGTTCATATAGCTTCAGTGGTTCCTTAAAGTCTGGATTCTACTTATTGTATTTTAAAGGAGCACATTTTAAAGGAATGGAAGAAATAAATCCAGTGAAGGAGACTGTTGTGGGGTGGGACAGCCAGCAGAGCTGTTTGTTCTCCTTTTATTCCTTCACAAATGTTTACTGAGCAGTAAGTAAAGGTGAGACCCTCCTCTAGACACAGTGGTGAATAAGAAATTGTCACCGACTTCCAAGTGGGGGAAGGCATGAAATAACTATTTACACAGCTTCTGTTACATGTACAGGGGAGGGATGGGCTCCTGAAAGTGCATATAACAAGTGAAGACAGGCTGCGGCGAAGGGAGCTGGTTCCAAGCCAAGAGAAGAGCTTATCCAAGGACTCTGCTGTAAGAAGGAGTGACTGACAGAAGCAGGAAGGGCAGGTAGACCAGACCACTACAGACTCAGGTTAAGTAGGGCATTGTGGATCACATTTCAGACTGAGGTGTGTAGCAATAGGAAGGAAAACTCAGAAGTGGAAGAGCTATGTGTACGTGGACTGTGTCTTTGCATTTTAAGAAGAATTGCATCATTGATATCAGAGGAGGTGAGAATTTATGGAACAAGAGGAAACCACATAGTTAAGTACTTGAGAAAGGATGAAGAGAGGCTTGGATTTGCTTGTCGATGTACCGGATGCCTTGGGTGGGAGGTCTTCCTGGAATGGGGAGGCTACAGTGCAAAAGTTAAGGAAAGGACATGGAAAGGCCAATTCTTCTTCCATTAAATGTAAAGATAGGATAAAAATTTAGGAATAACACAATTACTGAGTGCCACAAGGGAGCTGCTCTAACAGAAATATCACAAGTAAGTGACTTTAACAGATAAACGTACTTGTTCTCAGTTTAGGAGACAGGACTTAATCTCCCCCTTGTCTCTGCTTCAATCTCTATGCCTCATCTGCTCCTTTTACGATTGAAAGGTAGTTGGCTTAAAACACAACCTACACAAATATGAGACCCATTGTGAATGGAATGATAGCCACAGGTTAACATTTATAATACATGCTTTTGGGGGACACAATGCAATCCACAACAGGGTTCAGGAAGGTCTTCAAAGTAAGTCGTAAGCTGCAGGAAAGAAGTGAAGGAGAGAAAGGGGGAAGTCAATTTGTTGTGTGCTGTTGAGTTGGAACCAACCCATAACTGCCCCTCCAGAGGGTTTCCAGGGGCAGTAAATCTCACGGAAGGAGGCTGCTCATCAAACCATGGAGCTGCTGGCAGATTTGAACTATGTGCCTTCAGGACTGTAGCATAGCTTCTTATGACTAGACTACCAGAGTGAGTTGAGGGGGTGGTGCAAAATCACTGCTTAAGCTAACAACCTTCCCGTCACCCAGGAGCCATGATGACTGGAACTGATATGCAGAGCCCTTCATCAGACACAGCAGCTAGGAAGAATAGAGGTAGGGGGAGAGAAGGAAAGGTATGAAGTGCAGAGAATGGATATTAAGTAAGGGAACTGAAACTCAGTGAACTGGAAGAGGAGCCTTTGGTGACAGGCGAGTTCAGGGTGAGAATGTGGACTGGTCCCCTTGAAGAAGGCCACACGGAGTCACTGAGCCAGGCTGAGGCTGTGGCCCCGCGGTCATTGACCCTGTCCACATTCTAACTCTACCAGCAGCTAGTTTGTGACATGACTCCCAAGCTCGTTTCATCATCTATAAGATGTGACTGACAGGGTCTACTTTGTGCAGGTGCGTGAGCAGGGCAGAGACACAGATAGGTATAGGCCTGGCAGGGAGCCTGACATGGGAATACCTATGTGGTCATCAACTGGTTCTTTCCTCTGCTCTTCTCCCTCTTGGTGGCCAGAGAGGGATGAAGACGTTTGAGGCCTGGTGGAATAGGAGGTAGAAGAAGTTGAAGTTACTGTGGATCAGGCTCCCCACGAGGTCCTCTCAGCTGCTAAAGGAGATCGCATGACCACTGACAATCTGGGGAGACCCAGATTAATCTGGGCTTTAGCAAACGGGAAGGCAGAGAGTGAGGAGCAGGCCTGCCCACTGCACAGAACACCTGTTCAGTATTAGAACCCATGGGTCTGTAGGTCACACAAATAGTTCAGCACTTAACTACTAACTGAAAGGTTGGGTGGTTCAAACCCACCCAGAGGCACCTTGGAAGACAGGCCTGGCCATTGGTTTCAACCGTGAAAACCTGATGGAACGATTCTGCTCTGTGACGCACAGGGCTGCCAGGAATCAGAATCAGCTTGACAGCAACTATTTCGTTTTAAATTCTGTGCTAGGCCTGGGGATGGAGGGTGGGGGAGTGCCGTTGTAAATAAGCCAGAGTGAGTGAGTCCTTGATCTCTTGGAGTTTACCTTCTTCCTGGGAAGTAGATGGTAAACCAAAACAATCACTCGAAGCAAAACCAAAAAAATCATGTTGACACAAGTCAGAACCAACTCCTGGCTGATCCTCCGGTGGGATTTCCAGGGCTGTAAATCACACAGGAGGAGATTGCCTCTCTCCTGCAGTGTCGCTGGTGGATTCGAACCGCCAGAGAGGAGCGGATGACAGGAATGAAGCACGGTGAGGAGGGCCACCAAGGACAGCGATGGGGGGTGCAGCCAGAGTAGACCCTCTTGGCGTCTGAGGGCGCCCCTGGGCCTTGGCAGGTGCTCACCGCTTACCTGGACTACATGGAGGAGCTGGGGCTGCTGCTGGGTGGACAGCCAGCCTCCACGCGGGAGCAGATGCAGCGTGTGCTGGAGCTGGAGACCCAGCTGGCCAACATCACTGTCCCCCAGGACCAGCGGCGTGACGAGGAGAAGATCTATCATAAGATGAGCATTGCTGAGCTGCAGGTGGGGCAGGCAGAGACCTGAGAGTTGGGAGGGAAGAGGCCCAGCACAGCGCGCGCGCGCGTGCGTGCGTGTGTGTGTGTGTGTGTGTGTGTGTGTGTGTGTGTGTTTGTGTCCGTCCCGCCCCTTGCCGTCTATCAGAGGCAGCTGATCCTTCACTCATTCCCTCACTCCTTTTTGGAGCTTCCCAGCTGCGCTGTTGCTATACTGAAAAAGAGCCATGCTATCGTTTCAGGCCACCTGACATTGGGCAGTCCTTTGGTCCCTTTCTTGTTGCTGAGGGATGGTGGGGGTGTGATATTTAGAAATCTCTGACAGCTTGTATCATATGCCCACAGAACAGTCAGGAGAGAGAGCTGCGTCAGGCTCCTGGATAGCCCTAAACATGCCAGGCAGCAACCTTTTAGTTGATTAATTATGGAGAAGTTGGGGGCCCAGGGGAGGGGCCGAGTGTGCAGGTACCTTGAAAACCTCAGAAGAGTGGTATTTTATCAATCTATGGAACGATTTTAGTATCTTTGCCCTAGCTGGACCTCACCTCCAGGTGGTCTCCCACCTGTGTACATAGTGATCAGGCTCCCAGATAGAGAGGTGCTCAGACCTGGAAAAGGGTGTATTACAGGAAGGGGTCACCAAGCAGCCAATAGCTGTTGCCATGGTGATGGGAAAGGGCTCCCAGGCTGCAGCAGACCAGTGGGGGAGGAGGCTTCTGAAGCCCAGCTGAACGCAGGGAGGCTTCAGGCTCTGGCTCCGTTTTCTTTGGCTGCTCCTAGATCCTGGCGCCCTCCATGGACTGGCTGGAGTTCTTGTCTTTCTTGCTGCCACCCCTGGAGCTGAGTGACTCTGAGCCTGTGGTCGTGTACGGGACAGATTATTTGCAGCAAGTGTCAGAGCTCATCAACCGCACAGAGCCGAGGTGGGGAGAAGCCCAAGATGCCGAGGTTGTGGCTCAGGGCTCTCTGGAGGTCCTGGACAGGGACAGGGCTTAGGGACTGTCCAGAGCAGACAGAGGGTAGCATTTGACAAGGGTGCTGGGCCTTCCAGACACCCAAACAGAATATCTGCTGGCTGCTCTCCCTAGGCTGGAGTTTCTGCTCCAGCCTGACTTCTGCAGGCAGGTGTGTGTCTCTGGGCGAGTGGGAGGGATTCTGGGACAGCTCTCACTTTTGCTTCTGGGGGCTCCTGCTGCCTCCATGTTCCTGAGACTGCCCCCTCCTTCTCCCTTGAATGCTAGCATCCTGAACAATTACCTGATCTGGAACCTGGTGCAGAAGACAACCTCGAGCCTGGACCGGCGCTTTGAATCTGCACAGGAGAAGCTGCTCGAGACCCTTTATGGCACCAAGAAGGTGGGCTTTCTGCCTCAGGCTGCACCTTTTGATCAGCCTCGCTGATGCATCACACCTACTGTGTGCCAAGTGCCATTTGCCTCACAGCGTAGTGGGAATAGTGGAAACATGGTAATCAGAAGTAGCTGACTTGAGTTCCAATCCATGTTTTTAGCCCGGGAGGCCCTGAGTATGTCACCCAGCCTCCTGACTCTCCATTTCCTGGTCTATAAAGCAGGGATACCTTGTGAGGTTGTTGTAAGGATTAAGAAGTTTAATATACGTGAAGCCCTTCCTCAGTGCATGGCACTCAGCTTGGATGATGATGATGATGATGAGTATATGTGGTTCAGGAATGAGGAAGTAGGCATGTAAACATTTTGATGTGAGATGTCACATTGAGTGACAGACCTTCGTGCTACAGGACAGAGGTGGGGACAACACCTGGAAGGCTTCTGTAAGGAAGTGACATTAGAAAAGTTCACCATGAAAGGGCATTCCAAGGTAGAAGGAAGAGCATATTCACTCCTGTTGTTGATTGCCATTGAGCCGACCATGCTCCATAGTGTCCCTATGGACAAAAGAGCCAAAGCCTTTCTATAACGATCGTCTATTGGAAGCAGGAGTGACATCCACTTCCTAAACAATATGCCTCTGGAAACTCTGTGAACTTATTAACTGCCAGAGGCCAGAAAAGGATAGAATTGCTTGTGTTCTGGTAGGAGCCTTAGTACAGACCAGCAGAGACTCAGCGTTTGCTGAGAGGGTGCATAAGACAGTCCATGTAGGATCCTGAGCTGTGCTGAACAGTTTGGCTTTTCAGGAATGGCAGCCTTGGGCTGCTTGTAATCAGAGGAGTGACGTGGTTTGGTTTATGTGTTCAGTAATCTCTGGCAGCTAAGTGGAGAGGAGCAGAGGACCCGAAAATGTAGTTGGAAGGAATCTGCAACCTTCAGGCACGAGCAGCGCATGTTCTGAGTTAGGACAATAGCAAAGGGGTGAAGGGGAGAAAGTGGAGCATCTGTGTAGATACAGAAGCTGGTGATGGGCTGAATGTGAGCGTTGAGATGGAGCAAGTTGGCATGATTCCCAGATTTCTGGTGTGGGAACTGGATGTAATATGGATGTGGAATCGAGCAAAGAAATTTCTGGATCTCAGTGGGCCTCTTAGAAATGTTAGAAGAGGAGAGTGCTCAGAAGAGTGGGCAGCACACTTGTTCCTCCCAAAGTCTCTTTCCTGGGGTGGCACTGAGCTATTCCCCTTCATTTTATTTTCCTGGCATCCAGGGAGTGATAACACCCCAATTCCAGAGCTAAGAGCCGCTAGCCCCAGGAACTAAAGGCCCCCATAGACTAGAGGGCCGAGCTGACTCTGAGAGGCCTGGCCCTCTGTCCCCTGACAGTCCTGCATGCCGAGATGGCAGACGTGCATCTCCAACACGGACGACGCCCTTGGCTTCGCTCTGGGGTCCCTGTTTGTGAAGGCCACATTTGACCGGCAAAGCAAAGAAATTGTGAGTTTCCAACCTTTTTCTAGTACTATCCTTGTTTTATTTAAAATTCACTATTCTTTCATGTATTGCATTGTCATGTGCCGTCTGATTCATAGCTGACCCTCCAGCAGGTTTTCAAAGTCTGTAGCAGGTTTTCAAAGTCTGTAAATTGCACGAGCAGACATTTCCCGTCTTTTTCCCTCCAAGCAGCTGGTAGATTCTAACCACTTGCCTTTGGCTTGGCCGTGCAGCTCCTTACCCATCAGGCCACCAGTATGCATGTTGTTGTTGTTGTTATGTATCATCAAGTCAGAACTGACTCATAACTGACCCTCTGGTAAGTCTTATTGTTGTGTGGTGGTTTTTTTTTTTTAAAATAACAAACGTTTATTGATGTCACTTATGGTGGAAAAAAGTTCTCCAGCGAGTTTTTAGAGGCTATAAATTGTGTGGGAAGAGACTGCCCATCTTTCTTCAGTGGAGCAGCTGGTGGATTTGAACTGTGTGCCTTTGGGGTGGAAACACAACTATTTAACACTAAGTCCTCAAACCTCCCTATGTAGGACATTTAGATAAAAAGAAAAACATACACCTAGCCTATCAGGAAATTCATCAACCCATTAGCAATGATTGCTTTGGGTGATGAGATTATAAAGAATTTTTCCGTCTTTTAAAATTTTCTGTACATTCCAGCCTTAAGACTGATAATATATTTGTAAATGAAAGGCAGATTACCAAAAATATCTACATTGTACAGCATAATTCAATATCTAGAAAAGAAGAGACTAGGAGTAGAAATCAATCTGGATTATTTATACCAGTTATACCAGTGAGCTTGCATTACTGATATACCTAGGGGGAAAAATACATCATTTATTGCACAATGGTAATGAGTATATTTAAAATACTATTTACAAAGATGTTTGTGAAAAAGTTATTTATTGTAGAGAGAAAGGAAAACAACTTTTGTGACCAACTACAAGGCATAGCATAATAGTGACTAGAGTAGATTATGAGGCAGCCTTGAAACTGGTAATATATTTATAAATGTAAAGCAGATTACAAAAAAAAATCTACATTGTCCAGCATAATAGGATACTATATACATCTAGCAAAGAAAACACTAGAAGTAGAAATCAAAACATAACAATTTTTCTAAGAAAGATTATAAATGCTATCCATTCCCTTCTCTCAATTCTTGTCAACTTTCCAAGGATTCTACTGTTGTCTTACATTTGTGAGCGGATAAAAATCAATAGACTGTATTAAAATTCTATCAGTTCAGCCGTCCTTTTCTTGGCAGGGGCTGGGCGTGTGGACCCCATCCAGCCCCCTGGGGTCATGTCTCCATGCTGGTAGTTTCCTGTCTGCTGGTTCTATCCTCAAGCACTGAGACAAATGAAAAAAAAAACAAAAACAAAACCATAGAAAATTATATCCATTCAATTAGCTTATTATCAATTAAATTTTTCAGTAATTATATTGAAAGCCACCCACCCGGTACGCCAGTGCCCTGACAAACATTGTTTTCTTTCCATCTGCCCCAGCTTGCCCTTCCTTCAAGAACCAGACACGCCTATGTGCGCCTCTGCAGGGGTGCAGTAAGGGATGTTGGGGGTTGGGGAGAAGTGATGCACTGAGTCCAGGTAGAAGGCTGACCTGTGCCCTCTCCCTCCCAGGCAGAGGGAATGATCAGTGAGATCCGTACAGCCTTTGAGGAGGCCCTGGGACAGCTGGTTTGGATGGATGAGAAGACCCGCCAGGCAGCTAAGGAGAAAGTGAGCTGTGGCTGGGGTTGGGGCGCCATCTTGTGGTGGAGATGAAGGATAGGGTGGGGTTCCCTCCCTTCCTGGTTTTTTTTTAATTATTATTATTAATTTTAATGAAAGTTTACAGAGACTTAGGATTTCCATTCATTCATTGTTGCACATTTCCCCCCCCCCCGCCCACCCCTACAACCACACCTCCCCTCCTCAGTCCCCTTTACTATCTAGCTCTTATTCTGGACTCTTACCATGCAAATAATACCTAATCATATGCCGAAGGATAGTTTTCATGAGACCTCAGTCAGTTGATCCTTTGCCTTCCGGGAACGTCCAGTTCATGGGGACTTTATGTGTCAGAGTGGAACTGTGCTGCTTGGTCCATAGCACATCTCATAGAGCTCTTAGGAGCTAAGTGTTTTGAAAGTAGACCCCTAGTCCTTCTCTTCTGAAATACCTCTGAGTCGCTCAAGCTCCCAGTCTTTCAGTTAGCAGTTTGAGCACAGTTAATGGTCTGTGACAGTAAAGGACCCATGAAGAAGGAAAACCCTTGGCCTCTGTAGGCAGATGCCATCTACGACATGATTGGCTTCCCAGACTTCATCCTGGAACCCAAGGAGCTGGATGATATTTATGATGGGGTGAGTACCTCTGCCTACCGGTCATGACTTCAGCATTGTGGAGAACACTGTTCTGTGGGATCACTAATTGAGGTCAGGCGCTGAGAATGGAAGAGAGATGTTTGTTGGTTCTCAGTACTAACTCTGTGCCAGGTTGCAGGCCAGATGGCAGCAAAATATGTTTACAGTCTAAGGATTTAGAGTCACACCAAAGTCAGACCCTGTTTCTATCCCTAAATAACTATGACCTTGCATCACTTCCATAAGCTTCCTGAACCTCTGTTTCTTCATCTGTAAAATGAGGATCCTATTAGTGTGTCTCTCATATTTTGGATATGTTATTATGAAATGAATATCCTTGGAAAGGGATATCATACATGGAAGGGCAGAGGGTCAGTGAAAGAGAGGAAGACCCCCAGTGAGATGGGCTGACGTGGCAACGACAGCAGTGGCTTCGAGTGTGAGGTGGTGAGGACGGCACAGGACAGGACAGGACTCAGACCTGTTGCTCATAGGGTCACTGTGAGCTATAATTGATGGCACCTAACATCAGCCTTAGTACCTAGTTCATACAGTTTTTTGAATTCGTCTAAAAATAGACCACCTACAATGTAAAAACCCACTCCTGTGGAGTTGTTTCTGACTCATATAAACCCTCCATCCAGTTTCTGCAGCTGTAAATCTTTGTGAGGGAAAGAATGACCACTCTTTTTCTTCCTTGGAACAGCTGGCATATTTGAACCAATGACCTTTCAGTTAGCAGTCCACCACGTTACCACCAGGACTCCTACCTACAGCATTTGCTCTTTTAAATATTGGCAGTTGGTATTTATTTTCCTGTATAGGTGATCCCATTTAATCATCACAATGGTACTCTAAAGTAGGTGTTTTATTCCCATTTTATAGTTGAGGCAACTGAGTCTCAGAGAAGTGATAAGAGTGCCCGAGCTAAGATGTTATTCCCTCCAGCATGTTCTTATGTATGCTTTTCTCTTTCCCAACACTGCCACAGTATGAAGTGTCCGAAGATTCCTTCTTCCAGAACATGCTGAATCTGTACAACTTCTCTGCTAAGGTGATGGCTGACCAGCTCCGCAAGCCGCCCAGCCGGGAACAGTGAGTGTGTGTGGGGAGGGCTGGGGAAGGTTTCCCGAGCAGGGGGAGGGGTGGCAGGCCTGCTCCTGGAAAAGAGTAACAGGCCCTTGCAGGAGGTAGGTTGGGATGCTGGGCCGGGAAGGGCATCAGGACGGATATCAGCCTCAGCCTCCCCCTCTTCCCTAGGTGGAGCATGACCCCCCAGACGGTGAATGCTTACTACCTTCCAACCAAGAATGAGATCGTCTTTCCTGCTGGCATCCTCCAGGCCCCCTTCTATGCCCGCAACCATCCCAAGTGTGTCTGAGGCAGTGGGATGGGGGCTGCGGCTTGGGCGCGTGGGGGAGCTGGTTACAGGGCTAGTGGTGAGAATCTGAAGTCTCTCTGTCCTGTCCTCTTTCTTCTTCACCCACCAGAGCCCTAAACTTTGGTGGCATTGGCGTGGTGATGGGCCATGAATTGACACATGCCTTTGATGACCAAGGTAGGGGCCACAGAGTTGTCCTTCGAGTGTAGAATTCCCGGTGGCTCCAGCAAGGCCTTAGTTGTTGGGGACCAGACTTAAGGGGCTCTTGACTCTATAGATCAGGGCTGATAGGGCCCTCCTGCTGCAAAGGGGCAAAGTGCATCCTAGTGGAGTTCACAGGTGAGGTCTCCCCAGGGCGTGAGTACGACAAGGAAGGGAACCTTCGGCCCTGGTGGCAGAATGAGTCCCTGGCAACCTTCCGGAACCACACGGCCTGCATGGAGGAGCAGTACAGCCAGTACCAGGTCAACGGGGAGAAGCTCAACGGGCGCCAGACGCTGGGGGAGAACATCGCTGACAATGGGGGCCTTAAGGCTGCCTATAACGTGAGTGGCCTGGCCAGCACGCTTGTGCTGAGCCCCACCCAGCTGGTGGAAAGGGCGCTGGGTGGAGGGGGTCAGGCGCTGACGACTTGTCACCCACTGTGCCTGGTCCAGGCTTACAAAGCGTGGCTGAGAAAGCACGGGGAGGAGCAGCAGCTGCCAGCCGTGGGCCTCACCAACCACCAGCTCTTCTTTGTGGGATTTGCCCAGGTACTGTCCCCAAATGGGAGGCTAGGGGTCCACCCTTCCTCCTCAGCCTTTGGTGTCTGTGACGTAGGAGGCCACCTGGGGCTTGCAGGAGAGGGCCTAGGCTGGAGCTGGGGTGTGGAGGGGTGCTGAGAAGGCCTTGTGCCCTGAGCCTCTCAACTGGGGCCCCCAAAAACAGCACTCTGAGGGGAGAGAACTCATTAGAAGGGTTTCACAGACCTCAAAGGGCAGCGCTGCCCTGCTTGAGGAACCAAGGACGGGTAGTGGGCACTCGATCCCCACGATAATTCTGTGAGTTCAGTATGGCAAAGGGAACTGAAGCTTAGGGACACAAAAATGGCCACCCAGAGATCCCCCCAGGATAAGAAGTGGCCAGGATGGAAGTTAGGCTGGGCCTCCTCTGGTTCTTCACACCATCCCTGGCTGTCTCTGGGGACTCTGTAACTCTTCCCTCCCACCCCCAGATATATCCATCCTTGCAACCCAACATCCAGGGCAGGTCTGAAAGCCCTTCCAGGATTTGGGGCGGGTGGGTACCCTTTGCTGACAGAGGAGCTGAGATAGAGATGGCTGAGCTGTGTCCATCCTCCCTAAGGCCTGGAGAAGTGGCCTGAGAGCCCTCCTGACCTGGGGGCTAGGGCACCAGCCATCTGTGCCCCTGGGATGGTTCTGCTGAAGCAGAGCCCTGTGGCCCTAGCCCCCACTGGACGCCATATGTCCCCGTGTCTGTCCTGGCCCACAGGTGTGGTGCTCGGTCCGCACACCAGAGAGCTCTCACGAGGGGCTGGTGACCGACCCCCACAGCCCTGCCCGCTTCCGAGTGCTGGGCACTCTCTCCAACTCCCGAGACTTCCTGCGGCACTTCGGCTGCCCTGTCGGCTCCCCCATGAACCCAGGGCAGCTGTGTGAGGTGTGGTAGGCCATCTGGGTGGGGGAGAAATGGCCAGCTGGCCCTGAGGCCTGGGGCAGCTGGACCAGAGACAGTATTCGCTTTGGGACTAGGTGAAGGCAAACACAGGTGGGCTGTGTCCAGCCCTTCATTACCACCGGCGACATGAGGCCCAGTCCCTCCTCAACCACCACGTTGTGCCTCTGCTTTGGGGGTGCCCCTGCCTCCATCAGAGCCCCTCCATTCACTGTGACCTCCTTCCATGTCACCCTGTCTGGGTAGCCACATGAAGGAGGCTTGGCAAGAGGGCTCACCAGCCTCCATAGGAAGGAATCTGCCCCTTATGGTGCCAGGTGCTCCCAGCCTGGTGGCCGTGGGGCCCGCTGTGCCTGCCCACTCTGGCCACGCAGAGCCTAGTGATGTGCCTCCCAGACTTCCCCAGAGCTCACTTGGGAGCGGACCCAGCGACCTACAGCCCTACTCAGGGCTGTCCCCACCCTGCTCCTCATGCTGCTGCTCCAGTACTGCTGCCCCTGCCCCCAAAATATCAACTGTGCTCAGTTCTTAGTAGAACTCTAAGGGCCTATCAAGCGCTTTCTGCTGCCTTCCTGCTTCCCAGGGCTGAGAGGGGCTGTGTGTGGGTGTGCAGGCTGTGCTGGTGCCTGTCTGTTAGGGTACAAGTCGTAGGGGTGAGCGATTCTCCCACTGAAGAAGACGATAAAGCAGGGTGGGAAGGCAAAGTTTATTTTTACAGGGAAGAGGGTGGGGAGGGAGTGGTCTTGGCCCTGTAGGACCCTGTGCCAATAAACAGACACGCATCAGTCAGCCTGTCTCTTCCTTTAGTCTTGCTCTCCTTTATTCACTCATCTCACCAGCGTCTACTGAGCACCTTCTATAGACCAACCATCCTCTAGAAACTCATCTATCCACTCACCAGACATGGGGGGTTGAGACTGGAAACCCAGAGATGGAGAATGATGCAGGGAGGAGGAATGGGATGCTACGGCATCCATCTGGGCAGAGTCCGTCCTTGTCTCCCGTGGCCATTTCTCCATGGCCATCTGTTATGCAGCTGGAAGGACTTCCTGCATCTCCACTTGTGCAGACTGCTGGCCCTGACAGCCTGAATAACTCCTGGACCAGGGTCAGCCTGGAAGATGGGGAACCCTTACTTGTTGTCACGCAGTGGCAGGCAGTGCTGGCAGGTCAGCAGGCATGCCACCCTGAGCCTCTGCTCATAGCTGAGAGATCAAGCCTGGCCCCCCTGCCTCACAGGCTCAGAGAGCCTGACATCACTCATTCTGTGTTCACACACTCACTCATCAAGACCTCCCAAGGGCCAGGCACTGAGGCTGCAGGGCTACCATGCTCCAGCACAAGGGAGGGAAAAGGAGTGTTTGTGGAAGATCTCTGGTGGCAGAGTGTATAAACTGTCAGGCTGCTAACCACTAAGTCAGGAGTTCAAGTCCCCATACCTCTCCGCAGGAGCAAGAGGAACAGTCTCTTCCCAGAAACCTTTACAATCTTGGAAACCTGAGGGGGGGATGCTGAGTCAGAACTGTGTCAACAGCTATAGATTTGGATGTTTTCCTTGGGCTCCAGGCACCAGTCTAGGTGGTTCATTTTGTGTCTTCATTTTTACATCCATGGTGAATGGCGTGTGCCATTGATTTGCAGGTGACCCGCTGGTAGGTTTTGAGAGGCAGTTGATCACATGAGAGGAATCTGTCCATCTTTCTCCCTCAAGAGAAGCTGATGAATTTGAACCTCGTGCCTTTGGGACTGCAGCATGTGTTACCATGCGGCCACAAGAGCTCCCTATAGGTTTATTTCTTGTAGTGTGTTGACTACTAGGAATGTGCCAGGCACTGATGACACAAAGATGAATAATACTGTCCCTTAAACACACTTGGCCTCCTAGCACTTTGACCTTCACGAGCTCTTTGACTCCTCAGCAACCATCATTTTAAGCACTGGCCTAGTGGCGAGAAGCTATGCAGCAGTCCTGTAGGCATGCAGTTCAAATCCCACCATCTCCTCCCAAGTGATTAACTGCCTCTGCAAACCCACCGGAGGGGCAGCTATGGGTCAGTTCTGACTCAGTGGTACAGAGTAGTCTCCATTTTAGGGAGCTTTGGTGGCCTAGTTGTGGAACCTCCACTGCAATCGCGAAGGCACACAGTTCGAATCCTCCACTTGCTTTGTGGGAGGATGAGCAATCTCCTCCCGTGCCATTATTGCCTCTGAAAACCCACTGGAAGGTCAGCTGTGGGTTGCTTCTGACTCAACGGTACACAGCAACAACAGTGTCCATTTTACAGATCTACCCTAATCACATTACTGGTAAGCAAAAGGACCAGATCTTCTGGTTGTATGAACTTGAATTGTTACCTAATTTCTACAAATCTCTGTTTCTTCATCTGTAAAATAAGAATGAACAGAAGAGTCCTGTCTTTATTCCCTTGTTGTGTGTACCATCGAGTAAATCACATGAGAGGAGACTGTCCATCTTTCTTCTGGGGAGCAGCTGACAGATTTGAACTGTAACTTTATGTAGGCAGCATACCTCCTGACAACCAAGCCACCAGCACTCCTTGGCTCCCTTTAAAGCTCAGTTATTCCCCTGGGCATAGGAAGGGATGAGTGTGTTGAGTTTGGAAGGGGCAAGCAAAATGTGGGCAGTGATTGCTGCTGGGGTTCCTGGTCTCTCGGGGATGGCAGTGGGGTGACTGTAGCCTAAGGCCTGCTGTACAAAGGGTGTCAGCAGCATGGAAATAGGGCTTCTGACCTGACCTCTGTTAACTTCTGAAGTAGAAGCTGTCCCCATCACAGCACCCACAGTACAGGACAAATTCCTCTGAGGACACATATGGCCCCTGGCCTCCTGTACCTACTTCTAGTTCTAGCCTTAACCCAGGTCTCTCTCACAGTTCTACTCCTGGATCAGAAATCAGTTGCAGTGGCCACACAGATCTCATGGAACCATATGCACAGTGATGAATTCAGATTGGTAACTGAATGCAGTTCCTCAGCCAAGACAGCTTGTCAGTATGCTCGCAGCCCCTTTGACTCTCAGCCTCATAGCTTAGTCAGTGTTACAAAGCTCTCTTAGTCCTGCCAATTATGAGATCTTCCTCTCCCTCCACTCTGTCTAAGGGCTCCTGGCTCCAGTTTCATGGACAGTAGTCCTGAGTCAGCTCTGACTTATGCTAATCTCATTTTCCACTGAGGCTGTTATTCCCAGTCTGACTGGTACAGAAATCTCTGGCCCCTAAACACTCACACTGCAATCTCTGCGTCTCCTTCCATACTGGTATTAAGAAGCCTACATTCTACTGCTAATCCCATTCTGTTGACACTTGGTAGAGTGAGAATGGGCCAATCCCATCCCAACTCATTTATACACACCCTCTTCCATGATTCCACTCAGCCATGTGGTGGAGGGCAGAGTAAGTGGCCAGGAAAGCCACTTTGAACAGTGGGCCCACTCCAGCACACCTGCCGTAGCTCCTCAGGGCATCAGACTGTCTCTGAAAGAGCTGTCATAAGGGCAATGGTGGGCATAGTTCAATGCTGAGTAATTTTATACAATATAATAAATGAGAATGACTGTATGAAACATAGTATGAATGATGGATAGTGTGAAACACAATGTATACAAACTTTGTAAAGAAACAATATAATTTTTTTATTTCTAAAAATAAGAGCGTGATCTAGACACTATTATTCCTCTTTTGTAAAGCAAAGTATATGCTCTCTAATTAATAAAGATGTTGATAAATTTTTTTTAAAGAGCTGTCATGTTACAGGGAAGTGCTGACTGATCACCAAGGAAAGGACATAGCTACTCAGGAGTAAAGTGGCCGCTGTAACTCCCAAGAGCAAGCCTTGGAGCACGTGACACGGCAGGAGGGGCACTGGAAAGAGCCAGCCGTCACGTGTGGAGACCTGGTGCAGGCTCCGCTCCACCAGCTTCTTGCCGTGTGACATTAAGCTTGCCTCACCCCCTCTTGAGTGTGTCCAATCCTTGGGAGAAATGAAAAGATCTCTGAAGATCCTTCTATCTTTAATGTTTTAAGAGGTGGCTTCACAGACTCAGCCAGCTGCAGAACCTGAGGAGCAATAAAAAAGACTTCTGAAGTCTGGGTGTCACACAGAGGGTGTGAATTGTCAGGTCAGAGGGCATCATGACAAGCAGAGTCTTGGCAGGGTAATCCTAACTCTTCCCTTTGACACTGACGTCAAGAGCCCAGCTAGGGACTGGGACCAGCAATTTGATGCCAATGTGGAATTCAAGCTCCATGTTTACATAAAAAGGTCAGTGTCAAATAGTAATCAAAATAAGAAACAGCTTTCATTTATTTGAGTCTCTAGTTTACTGAAGCCTCTGCTAAATATTTAAAAAATATTATTTCATTAAACCTCCATGAGTTATTAATGAGTTCAATCATCTCCATTTTACAGATGATTGCATGACATCCAGTGTCAAGATAGATTTCATTAAAGTCAGATCTGGAACTCTGATCTGAATACTCTCACTATTGTTTAGTCTTCTAATTCATGACTGACTTAACTTCAGGCATCTGTCTTAAAGACATCTTAAGACATCTGTCTTAAAAACATCAGTTTTCAGAGTGGACCTGCCACCAGCAGGTACATTTCCAGACCAAACAACTTCCCTAAGACAGACGGGTGTGCCAGGTAGGCAGCTGCAGGGAACTGAAGCACACATAGAGCTGAAACTGAGCCAGGTAGCACCTGTGTACTGAGCTCTGTGGGGACTAGGGGCAGGCAAGCACCAGCTGAGAGATGTAACCTTCACCCTTAGTCACCCTAACAGCCTGATGAGTTTGCATCAGATTGCTGAAGCAGAAAGGGGAATAAAGAATGGTGGTCTTGAATGAACATGAGTACAACTGTTAATAAAGTGCTAGGCTATTCCCTGCCCTGTTCCATGGGGAAGTTTGATTAAGATTATGCAAGATAAGATAACATATACCAAGCAATTTCCCAGTATTCAGTTCTGGTCTCCATAGAGTCCCTTATGATATACAAAGATGGCCTGGAGATGAATGCCAAGCC